GGTTAGGGAGCAGGTGCAAGAAAGGGCCGCGAGTGCTGGGAGGGACACAGAGCTTTCTGGGCACCTCCATCCACGGCCTCTGCCCTGCAGCGTGTCTTCCTGGCGGTGACCCCGAGGGTGCGGTGCTCTGCCCGCACTCCGTGCAGATCCGCGGAGCAGCCGGCAGAAGGATTCGTCCGCATGGAGGACCGACATCAGGAGCAGGAGAGCGCGGCCTGGCGCCTTCCCTGCTGGCTGCCTACCCCTCCCTTGGCTGAGACTTTAGTCATTGCTCCGAGTAGCTGTCACACGTCAGAAGTCAGGCAGCGCTGCGCACCCGCCTGTCCCAAAACCTGCTCTGCGAGGCTGCCGTCAGCTAAAGCCCCGTGTCTCCAGGTGCGAGGAGGAAGAGGCCAGTCTTTGTTAGACTTTTGGGAAAGGCAAGAATCGGTAAGTTGTTGACTTACTGTAGATTCTTCTTAACCACTTTGGGCAGTGATGGAAGAGCGGTTACGAGTGTGTGCGACGGTGGGAATGTTTCCAACGTGCAGTTTTCGTCCACTGCGTAGCTAATGCTAAATCCCTGAAATTAAGCCAAGTTGTTTGACTTTCTCATCGCTCGTCCGTGAAAAAAGCAGTTGTGTAAAGCGGAGTCTACAGAATGATTTAAAGTCTTCTTTGTCTTTAGCAAAAACAGTTCTTGTCCGTAGCAGGTGTTTTGTTTTTGAAATGGAGATACTGGATGAGAGCAGTTCTGGGGCATGTCTGCTCACTGAACCACGGAGATTTGGGGTAGATAGTCCTGATTCAGAGGCCCCATTGTCACATGCAGAGGGGGACTTGCCTCATTCTGGTCAGAAGTGGGGGTGGCGGGGGCTCGCCTGCAGGCGCTCTGCAGAGAGCGTGCTGAGGAGCAGGAGGAGCTCCTCGCTCGGTGGGGGAGGCCCGGTTCTCTAGCGTGTGGCCGCTTCCCTCGTTCTCGTCCGATTTTCCCCGAAACCTTTCACTGGCAACGCGTGGCAGAGGGCTGGCCATCAGGGTCAGTGTCACGTCCTCTGTGTTGGGAGATGTCACAGGTCTGATGCTCAAGACCTAAGCACATGTGTGACGCCATTTGGATCACATGGGACAGTCATCAACTTCGTTACCGTAAAGTCCCACACTTAGCTGATGTCCCTGTCATCCGTGCAGTGACCGTGACCTCTCGGGAATGGACGTCAAACGGCTCTTCATGTGCTTTTCGTAATAGGCTGTGTTGGTGTCCATCTTAGCTGCCAGCGGGAAGAGGCGTGTTTGGTCTTTCATGTGCGCATGTCTTGGAGGAACTGTGAAATGAGCTGTTTATCCCATTCCAGTCAGGGCTGACAAAAGAATGGACTTTTAAAAATACGTTTTAAAAAGTGTTTAGGTGAGGGAAGTCCAGTAGTGTTCTCCGTGCATTTGTTAATCAGACGTGCAGTGGCTGTCAGGTAAGGCCGGGGAGTCTGGTAAGCGCAGGGTCAGGGAGGGGCACTGGGTTCGTGCCACCTGACAGAGGGGCACGGCTGAGAGGCACGGAGCAGCTGGCGCAGGAAAACTCCAGAACTCCAAGCCCGTAGGAAGAGACGAGGGGCCGGGTCACGCCTGCGGCCTGCCTGCCTGAAGCAGCGCGGTCCCTCTACTCTCGGACACGTGCCCCGTGATTCCTGACCGGAGACGAGCACACTTGCTCGTGAACAGAGGGCTCGGGTGGGAACTCGCCGCAGAGTGGCCGACAGCAGGCAGGTGCCCTGAGCCAAACCCAGCTCGATGGCAAGAGACCCGCAGTGCGGAGCGTGAAAGCTGAGCAGCCAAACCCAGCAAGTACACTAGAGCTCGCCTCGGGCGTCCGCTTCCTGACCCTAGGCGGGGAGCGCGGCACAGCTCTGACTGCTGTGCGGGTGTGGGTCCTGCTATGGTGAAAGGAGCTAGAGGAAGTTTTAAAAGTCCTCTTCTCTCTGGGTGATGCCTCGTTTTAGGACCACTTCAAAGTTTTCAGGTTCAGAGCCGGTCCGTGCACTGTTTTTTCTAGCCACCGCCGGGGCATGAGCCTGCCTGCCGGGGCGTGTAGCCCGGCGCCGGAGCCTGGGAAGGTGAGCGGCCGTGAGCCGCCGCGATGGGCCGTCCCGGGTTAGCGGGCGCCCTCCGTTCCCGCTGTTACCCCCGCGTGCTTCTCAAGCAGCTCTTGTAAACGACGGCATTTCCCTTTGTGCCGCGCATCTCGAGTCCGCGTACACTCACGCGGAGAGTCGGGCGGAGAGCGAGCGCCGCGGAGCCGGAGCCGGAGCAGGTGCGCGCCGCGTGCTGGCGCCGCTCTCCGGGGAGGGAGCGCCGTCGTCTGCAGGGCGCGCGGGCTCGTCTACTCGTCTTGTCTTTTCCTTTTAAAATCGGTTTCCAGTTGTCTCAATGTCTGCTGTGGTACGTTCTGCTAATGGGAAAAGGCTTTAATACCGTGTCGCACGTTAGTAAAGCCTCCATGTGGTTGGTTGAGGGAGTTAGAGCAGGTGAAGTCGCTGGGCCTTGTGTGGCCGAGCTAGCGTGGCGGAGAAGCAAGCACCAGGGTCGGCGCGGCCCCACTGGTACCTCGTAGGGGCGGCGGAGTCGCTGATGCCGCTCACAGGCTTGGGGAATCGTTTGGCCGAGAGTCATCTCAGCAGATCCCAGATGATGTACAACTCAGAGACGGTTCCATGTGGCCATAAAGTGACAGTATTTCTAACTAAAGTGCTCGGTTGTTTTCTTTATTCTGTACTTAAAGAGAAAGAATGAGATGTTTCACCCACTGAACGTCTTATTGTAGATGTGCACTTGGATCTGGAGGACCGCCTGGCAAAGTTCATGAAGACGGAAGAAGCCATCATCTACTCCTACGGGTTTGCCACCATCGCCAGTGCGATCCCCGCTTACTCCAAGAGAGGCGACATCGTGTTTGTGTGAGTAGCTTCACCTGTGCAGCCCGTCAGCGCCTCTGGAGCGGACGGTGATCCCCCCGGGGAATGCCTTTGTTAGAGGCTCTCTGCCCTAGGTAACACCGACTTTCTGCTTAAAGAGGAATCTCCACGACGGCATTGGTGCGGCACTGAGGAGACCGTCACTAGAAGGATGGCGAGAGCATTTTTCTCTTAATTGATTGGTTTTATTTATTGATGTCGGGAAGCCAAACGTACTCCCTCTGTAGCTCTGTGGCAGCGCAGTGTCCTTGAGGGTCCGCGGTCGCCGCCCACGCAGTCGCTCAGCGGAGCCCTCCGTTGCCCAACGCCCCGCCCCGCCCCGAGTCCCGCTCTCTGCTGACCTTGCTCCGCGGCTTGCCAGGGTCAGAGAAGCCACGAGCAAGTCCGCGCTCGAGCACATGCGCCCTGGCTGGGGGGCGTCTCCGCTTGTGTGGAGAGGGAGAGCGGACAGCAGTGGGCTGGGCTGGCCCGGCTGGGCCGCCAGCTGCCCCCACCGCGGGCACCACCCTCTAGCCCAAGCCTCCGCTGTCCTTTCAGTGGATCATTAGGGGACTTTGAATTTTAGGTCTCAGGTTTACCTTTGTTTCCTCTTTTCCTTCTTAACAGCACAGCCAGAATAATCTTTGTTAAAATGCTCATCGGATGACATCAGGCTTAAGAGCTCCCCTCGCTCCTGAAACGAAGACCCAAGTCCTTACTATGGTCTTCTGAGCTCCAGACCACTTTTCCAGACTCATTTTGTCCTTTTCCTTCAGGTGCTCGGGCTGTAGCCTCATTGGCCCCATACGCTAGTTTCCTCTCGCTTTGGGGCCTTTGAACACACCAGTTCCTATGCCTAGAATCGTCTCCCCGCCCTCCTTGATGCCGGCTCAGGCCGCCCACCCCGCACGGTGGTGTCTCTGCAGGGCCACCCTCCCTCACCTTGCGGACGAAGCCAAGACGCTGCCGCATGCGGGGAGAGTCTCACAGCCAGAGGGCTTTGGTGTCCTTGGGAACCCCTGGTCACACGGGTGCTCACGCTTCCTATCGCAGTGCGGCTGTGCCATTTTGCATTCCCATAAGTAGTATGACGTGATACAGTTTCTCGACATCCTCAGAAGCATTTGGTATTGTCATTTTTTTTTTAATTTTAGCCATTCTGATCAGCGTATAGAGAGATTTTATTGTGATTTTAGTTTATATTTCCCATGGCTAATGATGTTTGCGTTTTTTGGATTTCGGTCTTGTCATCAGGAGGCGAGTCCATAAAATCCCCTGGGATTCCTGCTGGTGTTTTCTGGAGAAATCGTATAAAATTAATGTCAACTCCTCAAATGTTTGGTAGATTTCTGCAGTAAAGCCAACCGGCCTGGGGATTTATGTTTTGGAAGAATTTTAATTCTGAATTCGATTTTCTTAGTACTTAAAAGGCTGGTCAGATTGTCAGACGCGTCATATTGATGAGTTAAGTGGTTTGTGTTTTTCAAGGAATTTGCTCTTCTCAGTTGTCAGACTTACGTTGTGTTCTTTGTAATATTTCCTTTTTCTTCTGAGTGTGATGACGCGTTTCATTCCCGTCCGGTGCTCTGGCTCCTCTCTTTCCCGTCACTTCTGCTCGTTGTTCAGTTTTATTTACCTTCACGAGGAACCACCTGTTTGCTTCAGTTGTTGTTCTCCGTTGTGTTTCTGTTTCAATTCTGTCACTTTCTGCCTGTGTTTCCTGCCTTTGCTCTTCTTTGCTTCTTTCTGCCCTTTTTCTAGATTCTTTAGTTGGGAATTTTGATTGTTCATTTGAGACTTTTCCTTTTTTCTAATGTGTTAGTGCTGTGCGCTACTTGCGTGCTCCTCTGGCCTTGTCCCACACACCTTGGTTTGTTTATTTTCACTGAGTTTGGTATATTTTATTTTCCTTTAGACTCTCCTTGACCCACAAGTTACTTAGAAGTGTGTTTAATTTCCGAGTGTTGGAGATTTTAAACTTGTTGCAGTTTGCGTCGTGGCTCCCGATGTGGTGTGAGAATGTGTTCCCTGGTCACTGAAGACGAGTGTTTGGCCACTGCTCGGTGATGTGTTGCATCAGCGACACTTAGATCGTCTCAGTTCACGGTGGTGTTGAGGTCTGGTCTGGCCTCGCCGGTTCTCCGTCTGGTAGTTCTGCAGTTACGGAGGTTGTGATGCGTCTGTGTTCCTTCTCTTACCTCAGTTTTTGCTTCTCAGCCTTTTGTAGCTCTGTCGTTTGGTGCATATTTTCTTGGCTAATTGATCCTGGTTATCACTGTATAATGTTCTTCTGTCTCTGGCAATTTTCTCTGTCCCAGAGTCTCCGTCATCAGGTAACCGCGCAGGTATTCTGCTTCCTCCTGATGAACGTCTCTGCATGCTGAGTTTTCTGTGCGTATCACACAGACAGCCACTACCACGTTACTGTGTACCTTGTGGTCTATTTTCTCACGGGCAGGATATCGTTGGGACATGTTTGATCCATTCTGCCAGTCTTTGTCTTTAAATTGTGTATTTTGGCCATTTACATTTAAAGTAATTACTGGACATGTGAGGGCACTTTATTTTTTGTTTTGTATCTGTTATCTCTTTTTTGTTTTTCTGTTTTCTATTTCCTGCCTTTCTGGGGGTTCAGTGAACTTGTCTTGGGATTCTAGTTTGACTTATCCATGGTGTTTTTGAGTGTTTCTCATTGCACAGTCCTGTTTGTTTTTAGTCCTTGCTTTCAATATGACATTATGTATGCACGTAACACACCATCTGCTGGTCTCGTCGTTTTACCATTTCAGGTAGAGAAACCTTTACCTTCCTTACACTTCTGTATTCTCCTTGTTTATATTTGTTTTCAGTACTTCCTGCACATACGTTGAAAGCCACGTCAGACAGTGTTCTAATTTTTATTTAAATCATCCATAATAATTTAGAAAACTTGGGAAGGTAAGAAAAGCCTAGTGTGTTTGTTCATAATTTTACTTACTCTGTTCTTTCTTCCTCTCTGATAATCTAAGATTCTTTAATTTTTTTACTTATTTTTTTCTATGTGGAGAGCTTCCTTTAGCCATTCCTTTCCCCTGGTCTGCTGGGGTCATCTTCTCTTCGTTTGCCTTCGTTTCCCCTGTTCCCTAAAGGATCTTTCTGCTTGTTGCAGAATCCTTGTTTGAGAGTTCTCTTCCTCCAAGCATTTGGAACATAAATGTACATATAAAAACCCCACATTTCCTGACCTCCCTGGTTTCTGATTGGTCTCTCAAATTATTTTTCTCTTCTCTGTAAGGTGTCATTTTAGGGCTGCTTTCAAGATTTCTTCATCATCATTCGTTCTCAGAAGCTTTACTATAATTTTGGCGTTTATTTGTTTGGGTTTATATGAATTTCGCCCAGCTTCTTACCCAATTGGAGGCACCTTCCATCCTTATTTCTTTGAGTACTTTTCAGCCCCGCTACCTCTCCGTCCTCTAGCCCTCCGCTGCGGCCAGTGTGGCAGCTTTCGTTGTAGCTCCGCAGGTCTCTGAGGCTCTGTTCTTCCGTTCTCGCGTGTTTTTCTCTGGTTTCCGTTGCGTAGCTTCTGTTCTGTCCGCCGCTTCTCCCGTTCTGCTCTCCGTCCTGCCCGGCCTGCTGCTGAGCCCGTCCCTGTACTTTTCCTTTTTCTCTTCTTTTTTTTTTTTTTCTTCTGGCCGTGGTGTTTTTCAGTTCTAGCTTCCCCATGGGATTCTTTGTCTCCTGTTTCTATCCTGGGGCTTTCTGGTTTTCCCTTGTTCCAAGCGCGTTCATAAGTGCCCACGGAAGTATTTTTATCATGACTGCTCTAAAATGACTCTCAGATAATCCGGACATCTGTCAACTCAACATTGGTATTTGTTGATTATTTTCTTTCATTCTGTTTGATATCTTTTGATTCGTGGTATGACAAGTGATACTCGAAATCGGGACATTTTCCTATTCTGCTATCAGAGTTTATGCTTTACTTAAACCTTGGGGTTTAGTGGGCTTCCTCTGTCACTCTTCCATTAGGGGCGGGGGGCATTCACTACTGCCCTGTGACTGCCAGGTGGAGGTACAAGGCCAGGGTCCCCCTTCCGCCTCCACTGACACCGGGTGGGGGTGTTTCGATCTCCGTCGGTGTTAGTGAGAGTCCCGCTCTCCCCTGAGCCTGCTCTGGCACAGCCCAAGCCAGGAAGGGGAGGCTTTCCCTCCCTGCGGGGCAGCGGCGGCGGGGGCTCTCCACGCGGTCTTCACGGACGCCGCCGGGAGGGCTTTGTTACCGGCTCGTGGGGTCCAGCCCCGGCTCCCTTCTCTGAGGCCACCGGGGCGGCTGTCGGCACGCCTCCCAGCTCTGCAGCGGTCCGAATCTGGGCCCCTCAGCCCTCGCTGGTGTGGGGGGATGACCCCGGGTTTTCTGTGGTTTGGCTGCAGTCGAGTCATTTCTGCTTGCCGGGCCGCCCCTTTCCCGCCCCTTGGGCCGCAGAGGGCAGGTTCTGTGAGCTTGTGCGCCCGCGCCCCTGGGCACTTGGAGCGGGTCAGCTTCCTCAGCTCCAAGTCAGCGACGCCCACAAGACGGCGTGTCAGAGGTCGCCAGCCGGCCTGTCATTTTTCTGCACTTCTGAGTTCTCTTACGTCTGCTCCATATGCAGTGTCCGGGATTTGGGCTTGTACTTAGAAAAGCAGGGAAAATGGGACTGTTCCGTGCTCGCGGCAGAAGCCTTGCACATACTTTAATGCACCTTAATGCCCGGGACATCCTCCCTCCCTGACTCGGCTTAGAAGATCTCACTGGAGTTTCAGCCGCCACAGCCAGAGTCCCCAGTCGGTATCACTTCTCACGGCAGAATAAGGGCAGAGTCTGCGCCCGTCCAACCCGAGACGCCACGGAGGGTGAGGTCACCGGCGTCGTGTGTGTCTCAGAAGGAAGAAACTGCTGTGGGTGGACAGATGCGCGCGCTGCCTTCTGAGGGGCGAACCGAGGCAGGGTGAGCTCCGTAGGGGGTGAGCGCGTCGCTGCGTGAGGAGGACGCACGCTGAGGCGCGCGGGCGTGTGCGCCGTCTCGTGTTCCTGCGGACTGTGCTGGCAAGCGCGGGTGAGCAGCCCCGGATCGCGAGCGCTCCTTTCCCGAGAGTGTTGACAAGCCCTTGTACAACCCCAGCCTGTGGTCTCTTCCTTGCAGAGACAGAGCTGCCTGCTTTGCCATTCAGAAAGGGTTGCAGGCCTCCCGGAGTGACATCAAGTTGTTTCAGCACAACGACATGGCCGACCTGGAGCGCCTGCTGCAGGAACAGGAGACGGAGGACCAAAAGGTACGATTCTTTTGACCAAAGTTACACCGTTCTGTGCTTGCAACCCGCCGAATCACGTCGGAAGTGGCAGCTTGTCATGAAAACTCGCCCGCGGACCACTTGTGGGTGTGAAGCGAGGGCGTTGCTGCTTATGAAACGCAGTCGCTGCTGGAGCGGCGGGTCTGCCTGTCATCGCCTGCTCGTCGCTGTAATTACTTACGGCAGCTTTGGGGGAAGGTAGCGCGGGCAGCTTCCTGGAGGAGGAGGGCAGCGTGCGCGTCGGGGAGCGGGTGTTCCGCCCAGTCTGCGGAGGTGACGCGGGATCGCGCCAGCGTGTGCGCGCGTGTGCGCGCGTGTGCGCGCGTGTGCGCGCGCGTGTGCCGTCACCTCACGGACTGGGTGAAGTGGGAAACGAGAAAAGACAGCACCGTTGTCTCAAAGTAACGGTATAAAACCTTGAACTTGAAACTCGCCCAGACTGTTGGTTTCCTTACTCCGATGACTCGATTCTGTCGGGTGCAGTGCTACGGGGCGTCTAACAGATTCTGCGTGTGCAGTTACTGAGATTTAAAATGCTTTTTTTGTTTGTTTTTCCTTTTAAAGAATCCTCGCAAGGCTCGGGTCACCCGACGTTTCATCGTCGTGGAAGGGCTGTATATGAACACGGGGACTCTCTGCCCTCTCCCGGAGCTGGTAAGCCAGCGCGCTCGCCGAGCGCGGCAGTGCTCGGGGGCGGTTCGTGGGCCTGCACGTCTGTCGGGCGCCTGCGCTGTTGCACCCGGGGAGCGCATGGGTCTCTAAGCAATAATCAAGACTCAGCTTTTTAAAACCCACTGTATTGTGGAACTGACTTACAGGTGTACGCTTTTTTGTTTAAAGGCTTTTATTTACTTTATTTGAGAACAAAAGAAAGCGCAAGCCGTGGGGAGGGGCGGGGGGGTGAAGCAGGGAGCCCAAGGTGGGGCTCGGTCCAAGGACCCCGAGATCATGACCTGAGGTGAAGCAGATGCTTAACCAACCGAGCCCCCCGGCGCCCCAAACGCTCCTTCTGCGGGTTTTAGCACGACTGGAGATCCCGCCCTCACTGAGGCGATCCTCACACGAGATACGATGAGCCGTTTTAGAGTGCGGTTGGCGTTCGGCGCAGGCGCCGTGGCCCGCGGCCGTCCGCCGGCCCGTGTTCTCCCGGCAGCCCCGCCGCTAAGCAGCCGCTCCCCATCCGCCTGCCCGTAGCCCCCGGCAAGCACCCGTCCGCTTTCTGTCTCTGGATTCCCCCGTTGGCAGATCTCCGGTAAGCGGCATGTTCCGTCCGTGACCTTTTGTGTCCGGCTGCCTCCGCGTCCCGTGTTTTCGCCGCTCCTCCGCCGCGCAGCGCGCACGGTCCCGCGTCCCTCGTAGCGCGGGTCGCAGTCCGTGGCGGGGACGCGCCGCGCGGCTGCTGCGCGGACAGACTGGACCGCCGCGCTCCGGCTGCTGCAGGCGCCCGCGAGCTCGCGAACGCGCCCTTGCTTGAATCCCCGTTTTCAGTCTCTCGTGCGTGCTCGGCCGCACCGTTGCCGGATCACGTGGTGAGTCTCTGCTTCACTGGCTGGGCACCTGCCGGCGGTTTTCCGCAGCGGCCGCCCCGTCTTACCCCCTGCCCCGCCCGCAGCGCGGGAGGGCGCCGGCTTCCCCGCAGCCTCACCGGCGCTCGGAGGTTTCCGGTTTCTGCCGCGCCGGTGGGTGTGAAGCTCGGGGCTGTGATTGCCCGTCCCGGAAGACCGACCATGTCGAGCCTCTTCTCTGGTGTGCGGCTCCTGCTGTGTCTTTGGGGAAGAGACTTCAGAAGTCTTTCCCCATGTTCAAACTGGGCTGTTTGTCTTTTGATCGTGACGTCACAAGTCTTCCCATGCCCTGGACACTAGACCCTTACCAGGCACGCGCCTCGCAGTGTTGCCCCACAGTTCTGGAGGTCGTCTCGTCGTCTCTTGGGTTCGTGTCCTTTGATGCGCTGAAGTCTGTGATTTGATGAAGGCC